CATCAACTGGCTGGTGATGCTTTGCCTGATGCCCCCCTGGACAAAGTTGGCCCTCCTGGCTGCCAGGGCACTGCTGACTCATATTCAACTTGCCATCGACCAGGACTCCCAGGTCCCTTTCCACAGCAATGCTCTCCGGCCTCTCATTCCCTAGTCTATACACACAGCCAGGGCTGTCCCATCCCAGGTGCAGAATCTGACACTTGACTCCAGAGACTCCAGAGAGCAATGCAGATAAATTTGTAACTGCCCTCTCACTGTCCTAAATAATGGGGTGGTGGATGCAGAGATATTTGCATCTGTTTTCCTTTAAGTGATCACCCATTAGAATGCATAATTTAATCACAGCATCCGGAATTACCAAAGTGTGAATATTTGCAAGGAGGAAAGGTCTGAGAATAAGATTACCTTTTCAGAAAAATAAAATAAACAAAATAAAATAAGGCAAAACCACTTTCATTTTTTACTTTGTGACCAAACAGTCACAAAGTAAAAAATGAAACTCAAAAGCAATAGTGCCAAGGTTGTTTATAAAACTGTGATATCAAATTAAAATAATTCAAATTTTTTACATGTTAGACTTCAGAAATAGTTGCTATCACTGTTCAATATATGCCCAAAATTCCTGTTGAGTGGAACAGTATTATTATTCAAAATCAGTTGCCTACAAAATTTTATTAGTAGCCTAAAAAGAACATCATATTTTATTCATTAATATGAGACTAAAGTTGTTTTTTGCCCTAACATTTCCATAATGAATAGCAAAACTACTGCTGAAATATGCTGCAATTATGAGATACAATCCTAAGAACAATGCTAGGAAAAGGCATTAGCACACTTCTTTCACCTGCCCTGGTTCATTCCACTTTTTTGAAATTTCTATTTATAGCAAGAATCTTAATAGACATCCTTCAAACGTAAATGCTTCTGTAACTGCAGTTTCAGAAAACCATACTGCAAGTGTCTATCCAGTAATATAAGTTACATCTTAATTCCGTATCCAGGAAAGAATAATTACCCAGACAAATTAAGACAACAAATACCCCAGGCACCCTTCTATCCTCCCCAAAACCTTTTATTAACCGCCCCTGCTCATGTATACTAACATTTTAAGTGAAGGAAAGAAAACAGCAAATATTAAGAACTCACAAAAAGGCTATTTTTACAATACCACCACTTACATTGCGTAAGTATGTCCTGGTTTTGTCTGTGGTAAGGTTAACTTTCCTCCCAGTGGGTGGTATGGGGCTGTATGTTGGATTTGTGCTGAACATAGGGTTGATAACATAGAGATGTTTTTGCTATTGCTGAGCAGAGCTTACACTTATATAAGCATATAAGCAGAGCTTATATGATTTTCATACTGCCACGCTGGCAAGGAAGGTGGGAGGCTGGAAGGAGACACAGCTGGGACAGGTGATCCAAAATGATCCAATGGATATTCCAGACCATTTGACATCATGCTCAGTCTGTAGAGCTGGAGGGAAGAAGGAGGAAGGAGAGATCTGGAGTGATGGTGTTTGTCTTCCCAAGTAACTGTTACACATAACGGGGCCCTGCTCTCCTGGAGAAGCAGAACACCCACCTGCCCATAGGAAAAAGTGAATCAGATCTTTGTTTTTCTTTGCTTGTGTGCACACAGCTTTTTCTTTCCCCATTAGACTGTCACTATCTCAATCCAAGAGTTTTCTGGCTTTCAGCCCTCTGATTCTCTCCCGATCCTGCTGGTGGGGGAGTAAGGGAGTGGCTGTCTGGGGCTTAGTGTTGGCTGGGGTAAACCACAACGAAGTACTTATGCCAAACTGTTTGGTTTTAGCTTAATCATTTTGGCACATCAAAGATTCATCCAAGTATCTGATACTAATGTAATCAATACCAAAAAAAAGTCACTCTTTTCAGTACTTGGGAAAAAAAAAAATCCAATTAACCAACAGAACCGGTCTTTTATTTCAGAAAAGCCATGTGAGGAGCCAAGTCACCATGCAAACATTGCATATTTTCAGTAGAATTAAAATGTCAGCTTACAGGAAGAACGGACAAGACTGGGAAAGATGACATATTAGCTCTTAAAAAATTAATCACTTCTCATCTTTACCATTTCTTTATCAATTATATGTTGAAGATACCAACTTCTGGAAAGACTTCTAAAAGTTGGTTCTTTAGCTTTTCTGCAATATAGGTCAATCAAGAATAAGGTAAATTTAATCTACATAATTTGTTTATCGGCTTCAACCACAAGAAAAGGTGTACCCAAGGAGGAATTGAGTAGAGGAAATGATTAAAAAACAAGGGGGGGAAAAAAAGTGCTTTATGTTTACTCTTTCACCCAAACATAAGTTTAATAAAAAATAAAATTTTGATTTTCAGTCTTACTGTCATAAACATCAGAGGTCCAAATGTTAAGCTTTCATTCAAATCATGACATTTATTCTAGAGGACGCAATTCTGTGTGGAGCTCCTCATAAAATCCCTCTGCGCTCCTCATACATTTTGGATCCTGATGACAAAGCATAGGAAAAATAACCAAGACACACTTAAAAAACAAACTTGCCTTCTCCTTCAAAAGAGGGGCACTGAAGACTAAAGAGCTGCCCAGCTGAGATGGTACATACATTTTCCCCTGAAAGCAACCTCCTCTGACAGCTACAGATTCACAACAGTCAGTCTGCCAGTTGGCACACCACTGCTGGAGCTGCTGCAATGGAGACCAAAAACAATCAGCTGCTGTGTACAGCTTAGTTTCCACTCAAATCCATAATGACAATTAATTCTGTTCACAAAGGCTGCCTTGAAGCGTTCTAAGTTTACAGATCTGTTGCCAAGAGCTGCTGGATCCCATGATAATACAAGTATGTGCACTACCATTCTATTCTGATAATTTACAAAAATATGGGCAACCATCAAGGTCATCACTTTCACAGGTCTGCTGCATGGTAGGGCTTCTACATGTACATGGAGAAACAATGTGTGCACCACGTTACCCCTCCACCTGCAGGCACTGCTCACATGCAAGATCAGTGCAAGCAGAGATTCTGAGTTATACTGATTTATTCCCTTCCAAACCATGCACTTATATGGTGGAAGCAGCAAATGACATAAACACTATCACACACTGTCAGGAAAAAAAAAACAGCAAAAGTATGGCCTTAATGTGCTTCAAAACAATGATACTTCTAAAATGTATCAACAAGCATTCTTTAATAATTTATTTCTTCAAAGTAACTAAGAACAGGGGGCAAGGTTGATCAAGCTGCTTGTACAGCACCTACCAAATTGCTTACACACAGCATGTTTTTTAAGAAATCTAGAAAACAAACAAGTCCTGTTTAGTTTAATATGTCGTAAAACATCAGCTGGACCACTGCAATTTATGAGGCTTTAAAAATCCCATTAGCAGAGACTTTCACCCTAAGAGAAGAGCAGGGACCAGTGCAGCCCTTCCCATTTACATTAAAACATTGACATGTTTCTACCCATCTGCAGATGCCTGTTGCTTTGCTGTTATAAAGAAGGAATATTGATTAACACATTGACAGAATGTATTTATGGCTAAGAAAAAAAAGTATGTAGAAATAACACACTGCAAAGCTGGAAAATAATTTTTCACCTCTTCTCATCTTTCCTCTTTCCAAAAAGGTGATCACAAACTCAGTGACCGAGCATTCTCAATTTTTCCAGTCTCACATCATCAAGAGCAAAGTAGGCATAGTGCAGATGCTTAAAGTGGAGCCATGACTATCACGTAAGTAGTTTTAGCACTCCATCTGGGTAAGACAAATCACCCAAGGCAAACTTTCGCTTCTTTCACCATCTCCAGTGTGTTTTTATGGAAAAAAAAATTAATAGGAACTAAGTAATTATGAATCAATTTAAACTATTTTGAGGCTGAGATGTCCTACAAGCAGTTTTGGCCTAAAGAGGATCCTTTAGGTTAGAGAAATATCCCTGTATTCAAACTTTAAGAAGCTTTAATACTGTAATTGTCTCTTCTTCTTCTTCAAAAAAAAAAAAAAAAAAGTAGATTTACTAGAGGCAGACTGTACTGACAGCATTCCACCCGGTGCATATCAGTTTGAAAAGTTGCTTCATTTTCAGGTTTTAACAGGAAGACAGTATAACTTCCCTGTAGTCTGGAACTTTTCAGATAATTATTAGAGTTATTATCATAGAAGACTAAAAAAAAAGAAAAGCAATGTATTTCTAATGTTTTCTAATTAGTATATGGGCAGCACAAACATGTGGAAGCACCATTCTGAATTACCTTCCACAACATTTTTGTTCACTGAACTCTACAGAAAGTTTTCTCCAAGGATTAAACTCAATTTTAGAATCAATTTCCTTCAATTTCCTTTGTGATTTCTATTTGCTTTACTGAAAATGTATGTAGTAAAATTTCACTGGCATTTGTACCAAGAATTGGTTTCTAAGACTTAGCTTCATCTAATGAAGATTAAAGATGTTACATGGGAGAGCAATACTTTCCAAGGTCTCAGAATATTAGAAGAAAAATAATTAAAAAAACTCCAAGAGCTATACTTTCTTATAATTAATTTTAGAGAAAGAGGAAAGAATTTGAAAAAACTACATTCACTAAGAGTTTTTTACCACAGGGTTGTCAAATTCCCACACTTGAGTAAAAACTATTAGTTTTACTTCAGTGACACCAAATGGTTAGTCAGACAAAGCAAATCAAAGAAAGAACCAAACAGAATAGCAAGATAAACCTAGTACCAGGTAAGAACAGAACTGCAAACAGCCAAGAGTTTGACAGTAGCCACTTGAACCTTCAAGAGCATAAAACTGAGATCATAAATACTACAACCTAGAGGAAGAATATCAAGTGTTTCTGACTACCTTGGGAAATCAGAAGCTTGTATCAAAAGTGAATATGCACACTTAAAATAAAAATTAGGAGCACTGTTGGTTGTTAATAAAGACATTGAAAAAAATATCTCTATAGTTTACAGAGAATCAGAAAATGCACAGACAATCCTGCTCACCTGTCTTCACTAAAACGTCGACCAACCAAAATTTTACATTTGTCTGGAGGGAGACAAGCTGCTAGCAAAGGCACTGTCCTTAACACTCGACTTTCCTGTAAAAAAAGAAAATTTACTTTTGAATCAAATCAAGGAAGGCTTCTATGAATGCTTAAAGCTTTCATTTTCTATCAAATTCTTTTGACTACAGTCACAGAAAAGAACCTTACCACATAACAGGAAAAAACAATCTACAAGAAAAATACCCAATCTTGATGATACAAATTGTATTGTTTCGATGACAGCACTTAAATTTTAACTCTAGGCTAACAGTATCAAAAACAGTAACAAAATTTCTCAGACAAATAAAGAATAGACAACAAAACAGCCTTAGCATTAATGATGTCACAGTCTGGGGAGCTAATGTCTCTATACCAGAAAATGAGGGGAGAGCTCGATTTCCACAAACAGATGCTAAAATTAAAAGCACTGGCTGCATCAGACCAGACACTGTGAAACGCAAACATCTCCACTCCGCTGTCACTTCATTTCACAGTAACCTGGACAATGACACCTATGCTGCCATGAATCTTCCAATTTATGCCATTCAGGCTGTATTGATCAGGCATCTGCCTACATCTTTGTGACACAGAGAGGAAGGTGACCACCATGCTTGAGTGGGGAGCAGGGGCTCTTCAGATCTCAGAGCATTAAAGAGAGCTACGTGGAAGCAGGATTTCAGAAAGTGGAGGAGGGGTGAAGTAATAACAGCTGAAACAAACTATCTACTCGTCAAACAGAGCAATTTATTTCTGTGCTTTATTTAACACAGCTGGGAAGAAACTTTTTGTCTAGACAAGAACTAATGCAAACTGAGCTTCATTTGTGGAATGTCAATTTTTGTTTTCCCATCAAGGAAATGGAAGCAACAGAAAGCCAACACTAAAACACTGAATGAAAGTTTCAGTTACTTTATTTATCGTAAGATGAACAGAGGAAGGCTAATAGCTGAATCTAGCAGGAGGCAAGGCACTAGATGTCAGGTGAGGATTATGAAAGCCCTAAACCCAGTAAGAGTTCTTACAACACAATGCACCTCTTACAATCTGAATGTCTCATGATTCAGACCATGAAAATCCAAACATCAATCCCTAAACTATGGGATTCATTAATGAAAACCCAAGGGGCTTTTGGTCTGCCTTTTGATTTAAGAGCCTTACCTCAAAAACAAAATATTTGTGAACATGTGAACATGAGGGTCTGATTAACTCACTCTGGGCAGATGTTACTTTCACAAGCATCAATGTGCAGCCATCTGCACTCTCACATTGTCTTGCTACCAAACTCCTGTTAAAATAGTTTTGTGAAAACTTTTATTACTGTTGCCTAAAACCTTAATTCATTTTGCTTTTTCTGATCCTTATCTACTGATCCTCTATAAATAAAACATCGTGGAGTTGAAGGAGTAAGTTGTTCTGCTACATCCACCACTATTTCTCATGGTGGCAGCAGCAGCGTAATGTCTCCTAGGGACAGATGAAGATCAGAGTACCTTGGAAGTGAAGTGCCAGCAAAAGGAGGGAGAAGTATTCTTTAAATTGACATCAATTTCTTCTATCTCAGAACAGCAGAATCAGCCATCAACAGTGTCATAGTATTACTTGCTTTTATGTCATCATAATTAAATAACATTCCAATTCACTAGTCAGAAGCCTCCCTTCTCCATAAGAATCTAACAAGTGGCAATAAAGGACCTGGAAGAAAATCAATTATTTGCCTCTGATAAGCAAAACCAAAAGAGCTGTCAGCAGTCAGGAGAAAGTTAATCAACTATTCTGTCCAATGTCACATCATTACTTCAGAATTACCTTTCATTCAAATAAATACATTCTTTTACCAAAATAGAAAACTGTTTTCCAATCTAAAAACAATACGTGCTTATAGGAAGATAAAACATAAAATGTAAAGCTCAAAGGAATTGAGAACAGAAGCTTAAGAACAGTTAAGTCAAACTAACACTAAAAAAGGTTTCATTTGTTTATAACGTTCTTCATTAAAGAATTTGTATTTAACTAGACTATAGATAACTTATTTGTTATCCTACCAACAATTTTCCATTTACTAGCTTAAAAGTGAGTAGTTACTCTCTTTGTTCTTCTCAGTGTTCTAGCAGTTATTTGCAACTCTTTGCTTATTAATTATTTGACTATTAAAGTATATAAACAGAAACAGGACTGGGGGATTTATGTGGTGGGCTGACCTTGGTTGGCCTCCAGCCAAGGTGCCCACCAGCCACGCTATTATTCCCCCTTCTCAGCAGGACAGAGGGGAAAAAATAAGATGAAAATGAACTCTTGGGTCAAAAAGGCCAGGGGTGGAAGCAAAAGACAATAAAAATATTTTATTCTTATTTCCCATCAGCAGGTCAAGTCCAGCCACTTCCTCAGAAGCAGAACCTCAGCAGGTGTAGCAGTTCCCACAGAAGACAAATGCCTTAATCACAGATGCCATTCCCCACCCACCCACCCACCCCCGGCTTTTACTGTGTCATATGGTATGGAACATCCCTCTGGTCAGCTTGGGTCAGCTGTTCTGGCCATGTCCCCTCACAGTCTCTTGTCCACCCCCAGGCTACTGGCTTTTGTGGGCATTTTGGAGGGACAGCCCTGATGCTGCGTGAGCACTGCTCAGCACTAGTCAAACTCTCATGGCATGCTACTACGGTGACTGCAACGTGGAAACTTAATTCCATTCCAGCTGGACTCAAAACAATTTACTTTTGTTGTTCTTTTTCTTTTCTGGGGATTTGTGGTAATTTCGGTTACCATAGCATTATCCATCGACAATAAATAGGACAGTTCAAACTAATAAAAATATTTATTAAAGCCAGGAGATATATATTTCTTCCATTTCTTTTTTCTGAATTGCTAGGACAAGCAACAAGAATTTCCCCCTTACATTTGATTCCTGCTGTTCAATAAGGAATACTATACAGCAGAAGTACTATAACAAGCAAGCCAAAGCTAATTCCTGGCATTAGATCAATACATAGAATCATTAAACACGCACAATCTAAATTTTCTTCTCAGATGCTTAACACCGAAAATTCTTACTCTTACAGAAAGAAAGATGGCAAGGAATGAAAACAACTTAAACAGACACCCTCTGCTATGCTTTAGGGGTTCTGTCCCAACTTATACTTATCATCCAGCTTTTGAAAAGCACATAATGGCCTACATTGTACTGGCAGTCACATTAAGAATGATCAAAGGCAAAAGTAAGACAAAAGTGTACAGGGGTTTATACTCTTAGCTGTGTCACTGATCAGTCCTATGGATCATAAGAGTAGGCATGAAACAGGAAAAATGACAATTTTTTTTTTTTTTTTACTTCTACATATATATATATTTACATACAAATTTATCTATATGCAAAGAAGAAAAATAAATTACTAGGCATATAAATATTTCGCTTTTGCACTAGTCCTGATGCTGGGTTTCTTTATATTTAGTTTTTAAATGACTCTCACAATGAATAATGGTACAATAACAAGTATTTGCCCCTTGATATGGAATGCTGAATTCCGGATTCCTTCACTAATAAAAATCTAATTAATTCATGTACCTATTACGCAAATAATTCCTCACTTGTGATCCACTGTTCTACAGTTCCTCTCTCTTTCACAATATGTGACACATGCACAGGTCTTTCTGGCAGCACAGTCTCTGGAAAGTATGAATGTGGAGACTTAGTCACATTAATCAGGCACCAGGAATGTTGCTCCTGACTTTCTACATTACTATCTTGCCTGAATACAAGTCTCAATAGCATCTTTTAACCACAGTTGAAGGTTTACTTCACCGCACTGCAGACTTCCAAAGACAATAAATAATGAAGCACATGAAGGATGACAGCTGGGGCTGACACGCAGTAAGGGAAAAACATTCACTATCTGGTTAATTCAATGAGATATTTTTGAAACTGAGTGTACCTGTAATGAAATGGCAGACTGAAGGATCAGATGCAGTTCAGAAGGCTTATCTGCATGCAAGATCGATTCTGTTTTGAGTATGAGCAACTACAAGCAAATGGAACTTACCTCTTGTCAGGTACGCCCCTGCTGTTATGGAATCAAAAGCATCACCCGTGAACACTTTCAAAGACCACTGTAAGATGTTCTTAGCTTCCCACCATTTGTTTGGATTTATGTCTGATAAGCCAAATGCCCTCATATAGCCAGATAGTGGTCTTCCAATACTGTGTAAATTATTATTATGCAATATATACTAACAGAAAACTTGCATCCCACTGTAACAGACAACTGTTGCGATTGCTGATTCATAAAATTGTAGACAGTCACTCAGACTGTCACAGCTATGGTGTATGAAATCTAAAAAAACCCTGCCAACTTTTTCTAATACCTTCCACTATGAATAGGAAATTCAACACAATTCAAATGCCAGTTCAAAGTCTCTGACGCATTTTTAAATCCTTTTTTCCCTTCAAGTTACTTTAGCATATATAGAAGTACTTCTGAAATAAGAATTAACACAGAAGAGTATTCCTATTATAATTATGTGAATTAAAAATTACAGTTTTCCCATTAAGGGCCCAAATATGTCAAGGACTCTGTTTTGTTTCCCTGTGAGAGAATACTTCTTTTAAACTTGCTTTTTTGCATTCTGTTTAAGTTCCTTCAGGCAAAGACTCTTTGCATATTGGCCAAGCTACTGTAAAATGTCAAGCTGGACCACAAGAGAACAGCTTTCTGAACTTCACAGTCTTATCTGTAGACCCACCATCTACCCAAATATGTGTAGCTGCAGTTCAATTTCCAAAACCCTTATGATACACAAGAAAAACATTAATATATATTCTCCTATTGGTAAACCAAAACATACTGTTCCATTGGCTAAAATAGCTAAGGTCATCACTACAATGAATTGCGTAATTCATATTTTTAACAGAACACTAACATCAGTAAAAGACCACTGCCATAATCAAACACATTCATCCCTATATCAACTCCAAACACCTCTGTGAGACACTGTGTTTGTAGAATCCTAGAATATGCTGAGTTGGAAGGGACCCATCAGGATCACTGAATCCAACTCCTGGCCCTGTGCAGGACACCCCAAGAATCACACCATGTGCCTTTATGTTATTTAATGTTATTTAACAATTATTTTATTTAATGTTAATTAATGTTATTAATTTTTACAATTTGTACCAAGGCAAGCAGATTTCAGATTCGAGTAGGACTATTCAGATAAGATGAGATGTCTTGCATGCATGGAATTGCAGAAATAAGATGTGATTTCAGAAGATAAAATAATTCAGAAGAACTGAACAAAAAATACAGTAACTCAGCTGAACTGGCATTCAATCATCAAATTTAAAAGAAAAAATCATGATACGACAGTCTTGGTTTTGGCTGGGATAGAATCCATGTTTTTCCAGTAGCTTGTACAGTGCTGTTTTGGATTCAGGATGAGAATAATGTTGATAGCAACAACCAAAACACCAGTGTGCTAAGTAGTGTTTACCCTAAGACAAAGAATTCTCAGTGTCCCACGCCCTGTCAGTGAGGAGGTGCACAAGAAATCCTGAGAGAGCATGTCCAGGTCAGATGACTTAAACTGGCCAAAAGGATATTCCATACCAAAGAATGTCATGCCCAGTATATAAACTGGTGATGCCCAGGAGCCACCAGTTACTGCTAAGGGATGGGATGGGCACTGATCAGTGTGTGGTGAGCATTGTATTGTGCATCACTTGTCTTTCTTGGGTTTTATCTCTCTCTCTCTCTCTTCTTTTTATTGCAATTATTATTGCTATTATTATCATTAGAATTATTAGTACTATTATATTTTACTTTGTTTCAATTTTTAAACTGTTCTTATCTAAACCCACAAGTTTTTACCCTTTTTTCACTGATTCTCCTCCCCATCCTATCTGGCACAGGGGATAGTAAACTTAGCTGATGGCTGGGGTTGAAGCATGACAACAATGGTAACAGCATAGCTGTTTCCTCTTGCCTACCATTTGCTGCATTAAGATTCTAGATGAACTCTCAACAGTTAGCACAGCCTTACTCACCTCTGCTGGATGCTGGATTATATACAAGCAGGTGGAGACCTTTAGCGGATGTACAGGCAGGAATGGACATAAACACACCTTCTGAGGACGGCTACATGGCAAAAGAAAGCAAAAGAACAACAAAAGCAATCAGCAATTTGTGAAAGATGATGTAAATACACTGCACAAATACACACTGCATCCCAGAAGGCACAATGAGAACTTCTTCTTACAACACTGTACTAAACCTGATTTTTTTTTCATGGCTAGGCTTCGCGAAAAAAGATTTGGGAAAGGCTCTATCCACATTTGTTACAGGCACGCTGGTGGCTAATAAGGCCAATATGAGATAGACACAACCGATTGCAAAAGGCACAGTAGAAAGACTCCTTAGGTGGTATATTCTGCAAGACACGATTCTTTCTGCGCTGTCTTTTCTCCTCGAGAGTGATCCTGAGTGCTTTCTCAAAGGAAGCAGCAGCGTTATAGATGGTGTGTCTCCAAACCTCTTGATTTGAGGCCAGAGTAGACCAGTTATGATGCTCAATATGGCCAAGGCTGAGATGTTGGTTCAGGGAGTCTTTGTATCTTTTCTTTGGGGCTCCTCTCTTGCAGCAGCCGGTGGCAAGTTCACCATAAAGCAAGATCTTAGGGAGGCAGTGGTCCTTCATCCTGGAGATGTGTCCTGCCCAACGCAGCTGTGTTCTCATCAACATGGCCTCAATACTTGTGACTGCTGCTTGCTGTAAAACAGATGTATTGGTCACATAATCTAACCAGTGGATGTTTAGGATTGTACAGAGGCAGCGTTGATGGAAGCGTTCTAGGAGACGCAGGTGGTGGCGGTAGATGACCCATGATTCAGATCCATATAAGAGAGTAGACAGCACTATGGCTCTGTAAACATTGATCTTTGTACTTTTCTTCAAGTGTTTGTTTCCCCAAACTCTTTTATGGAGTTTTCCAAAAGCACTATATGCCTTTGCTAACCTGTTGTCTATCTCCCCATCCAATCCGAGGAGATGATGCTACCTAGGTAATTAAACTGCTGGACTGATTTGAGCTCTGATTGGTCAATGGTGATATGGGGATGATGGAAGACTTTCTGAGGTGCAGGCTGATAGAAAACTTCTGTCTTCTTCAGGCTGACTTCCAGCCCAAAGAGCTTAGCAGTGTCTGCAAAGCAGGATGTTAAACACTGTGGAGCTGCTTTTGTGTGGGCAACAAGGGTGGCATCATCAGCATAAAGCAGCTCCCAGACAAGATGATTTAAGGTCTTGGTGTGGGCCTTCAGTCGCCTTAGGTTGAAAAGGCTTCCATCAGTACGATATCGAATGTAGATACCGTCCTGATCATCGAGGTCTGCTGTGGCCCTTTGGAGCATCATGCTGAAAAAGATTGTTAATAGAGTTGATGAAAGAACGCAATCTTGTTTCACACCACTGGTAATTAGAAAGGGCTCAGAAAGTGCATCACCATATCTGATTTGGCCGCATTGATCCTCATGGAGAGAGATGATCATTTTAAGGACCTTGGGGGGACATCCTAAACGTTCCAAAATCTGCCACAGACCTTTTCTCCTCACAGTATCGAAAGCCTTGGTGAGGTCAACAAAGGTTACATAGAGATCTTTGTTCTGTTCCCTACACTTCTCTTGCAATTGTCTGAGAACAAATACCATGTCTGTGGTGCTCTGTTGGCTCTGAAACCACATTGGCTTTCAGGTAGAATTCCTTCTGCTATAGCAGGTATTAGTTTGTTCAAGAGTATTCTTGCCAGGATTTTGCCAGCAATGGAGAGCAGAGTAATACCACGGTAATTTGAACAGTCTGATTTATCTCCTTTCTTCTTATACAAGGTGACGATGACTGCATCACGAAGGTCTGATGGTAGTTCGCCGAGTTCCCAACAGCTCACCACAAACTTGTGAAATTTAGCATGGAGTGCTTGGCCCCCATGTTTCCAGATTTCAGGTGGAATTCCATCAACCCCAGCTGCCTTGCCAATTTTCACCTGCTGTATGGCCTTAAGAGTTTCTCCCAAAGTGGGGGCAATATCTAAATCATTCTTCACTGGTTGTTGTGGGATGGACTCAATTGTTGAGTCTTGAACTACTCGACTAGTACTGAAGAGAGTCTGAAAGTGTTCAGACCATTGATTCAGAATGGAGGTTTTATCTCCAGCCAAAACCATTCCAGAAGTGTTTGACCATCTGCACTGAGTAGAGGGCTTTGGACCTGGTATGCAGGCCCGTATGCTGTTTTCAAGGCCTCATGGAATCCTCTGTGATCACCTGTATCTGCGCATAATTGAGTTTTCTCAGCTAGATCGATCCACCACTTGTTCTGGATGTCACGGAGTTTCTGTTGGAGCTTGATGCATGCAAGACGAAAGGCTGTTTTTCTTACGTGACAGGAAGGCAGTGCAAGGTGTGCTTGGTGAGCAGTTCTCTTCTTCCTCAACAATTCCTGGATCTCTTGATTGTTTTCATCAAACTAGTCCTTGTTCTTCTTGAAGGAGAACCCTAAGGTTTCTTCAGAGGATTGCTGGATGCTGTTTTTAATGCGGTGCCAAATTGTTTCAGGAGAGGAATCTGTAGAATCTATGGAATGGTTTTCGAGCCTAGTTTGAAGGTTTGCCTGGAATCTGTCTCTCACCGTGGCTGATTGGAGATTGTTAACTTGGAGTCTCCTCCTTGGGATACTGCCCTTTTTTGGTTTGAACTTAAGGTTGAAGCTAAGTTTGCAGCGCACAAGCCGATGGTCTGTTTGGTATTCTGCACCGGGCATCACGCGGGTATGGTGGACATCGCGGACATCCCTTCGTCGCACCAAGACATAATCAGTGAGGTGCCAATGCTTAGATCTAGGATGCATCCAGGTTGTCTTCAGACTATCTTTCTGCTGAAAGATAGTATTAGTGATGGTGAGCTGTTGCTCTGCACAGAATTCAAGCAGAAGTCGACCATTATCGTTGCAGTTTCCAACACCATGTTTGCCTAATACTCCTTTCCAGGCTTCAAATTTCTTACCTACTCTGGCATTGAAATCACGAAGGATAATGATCTTATCACCTGCAGGAACCTTTTGGATAAGGCAGCGCAGGTTGGTATAAAATTTATCTTTTTTGGCAGGGTCAGCTTGGAGAGTTGGGGCATATATACTAAAGAGGACAACGTGTTCCTTGTTGTGAAGTGGAAGACATAGGGAGATAATGCGGTCAGAATGGCCTGTTGGCAGACTTTCGAGTTTAGGAACAACAGAGTTTTTGATCATGAAGCCTACTCCCGAGAGGTGCCTTTCAGTTCTAGGTTTACCTGACCATAAACCTGATGTAATTTTGTTTGAAATTCCCTCAATTTCTAAAATTAAAGAAGCAAGGCTTTCATTGAAACATTTGAGAACAGTGCACAAACTCTCCCTGTGGGCTGGTTAGAGTTAAAACACTCTAAAAATCCTTTTGTCATATTCAAGATGAGCAGCTTACTAGTATCTATAACCCTATCAGAGAATTCTGTTACGGCTTTCCTAACAAGTTAGTTTCAACAATTTGATATACTACTATAATAGAACAATGTCTATAATTTACATATTTATAAGATTGATTAAAATAAAACAGTTCAGAAGTATCCAAACATGAAACCCCAGACATGCTGTATTTTAGTTTTTTGTAATTCCATTTATGTTGAAATACGTAGCAGAAATACATTTTCAGTATGAAAACAGAGAAGTCCTTATTAGGAACTTCTAATCTAAGTCTGAAAAAAAAAATATCTATAATTCTTCAGTGTACTGCATGAACCTGTTGGAATGGCTAACTAAAGAATTGTGTCTAAAGAAATTAACTTAAATATTGCTTGATATGAAACTGATATGCTGAATGATCAAGAATAAACAGAAGCAAAGAACAAAGTTTGAAGTTATAGACTAATTGAAGTTGTTACTCCAGAAAACCACACATATGTGCACGTGCACGCACAGATATCACTCTGGCTACTTGCATATGTTATTCAAGAGCTCAGAGAAATTAAGGACTTCCTTAACAGCGAAGCTATTGCCTGTTTTCACCAACTAAAATCATACCAACCCTGCAAACAAAGCTCTTTGAGCTTAACAAATACAAAGTCAGTATTTTCAGCACAATGATAGGGGCTTGGAGCACTCTTTCACCTGCATCCTCCTTGTAGTCTTCATTGGCAACAGTTCACGTGTTGCTCACATATCAGAGACAGTAAGCAATCGATCACTGCAGCAGATATGATTCACTGAAGTGAATTCTGAAGACAGGCTCAGATTAAATTCATGACAAGCCTGTCACTGAATGTGCTCGTCCACAAGAGCACACACTCACACAAGATGTACTAAGTATTGTTACAGTAGTCCAAGCCAGTACAACTGTTTCCTAGTCAAACAGTATGGTAGTAACAAGAGGTAAGCTCCTCCTTATCAGTTGACAGGTTGTGTTAATTGAAACTCTCTATTTCTAGCTGCAGCTACTGTGGTTGAGAGACTATTCCCTTCTCCACAGGGAAAATATTTTAAATATTTTAATAACTTTTAAAATATTTTAAATTATTAAATAAAAATAAATTATTAAATAAAAATTAAATATGTTAAAATATTTAGACTAGAAGGCCCACAGGCAAGCAATCAGTCTAATAACAAATTGGAAATTACTCTGATACACTCTTCTGGTATACTGTTCCAGTGGCCCATGTTTGTCTTTTTTTCACACTTCTGGTGCTGGCAATTTCCTGTTGCTAATTCTGCATAAATTTGGCACATTCTCTTATATAAGGCCAGGCTGTGGGCCTAGAACTAAGTACTCAACAATTTCACTATTCAGTGCGCTACTCTTGGGACCTTCATCATGAATGAACTGAAACCAACCTCACTTTCAGGTCTAGTGGGTTGTTCTCCAGTGCTGTAGCATTGCTTTTTCCCCAAATTTTCTCATGTGTAAGCAATTTAAACAGAAATTTCTAAAAACGGTTTTGTTAAAAACTGGAAGCAGCAAGTACTGCAGAGGCTGTTTCTTGCCTGTGCCCTGATTGTTAGGTAGCAGTTCATCCTCTTTTTGATCATCAGAAATTCAATTTTTTACCAACTGTGA